CACTCAACACACAATTCCCTCCCCACCTGTCAAGATGACATCGGTTGCGTCTTTGAACTTGTAGTCCCGTTCCAGCACCTCCACAACCGTTCGAACAACGTTGGCGCCCGTGAAGTAGAGCCCCCAAGTGCTTGCCGTCGGCGTGGTCACGTTGCCGCTGTGCAGGTCCTGCGTGCAGTACGGGATGTATACCATGGTCCATCCGCACAGCAGCGGGTTGTTGCCGCAGTCAAAGTCCTGGTACTGCCCAAAGGACCCGCGGGTTCTGGCACAGCACGGCACACGTGGTGTGAGGTTGCATACAGCGTGTGCATAGAGTACATTGGATGTATGGGCAGGTTGGTGAAGGAACAGGGGAGCAACGAGATGAGGGAAAGCAAGCTCTTTTTGTGGAGTGCAACATGCACAGAAACGTATGCGAAGGATACGCACACACACACACACACACACACACACACCGAGGCGTACACGAGCAACAAAACAAAACACGACACACACACGCACCAAGGCGTACATGAGCGACAAAACCACACACACACATACTTGGGAAAGTAGTTGCTGCTTCCAAGGGAGGAGTTGAGGTGCGACATACAGGCCTTCTTGGTGGCGCACTCGCCGCCGCCCTCCAGGTTGATCACGAAGCGTGTTGCGTTCACGCCAAGCCCAGGGCGCACATAGTACCTGCGGCATGCAAGCAATGTGCAGCAGTGAATCGGAAGAAGACGAGGGTGCGTAAGAAGTTTCACGGAGAGGCGGACTGAGTGACAGATGTACAGACAAAGAGACACATGGGGAGGCAAATAGACAGACACACACAGACACAGATACACACACACACACACAGACATACACACATACACACATACACACATACACACATACACACACGGGCGTACCCTGCTGGCGTTCCATCCATACACTTTGCCAGGGGACTATCGAGAAGCTTGAGCGGAACGCCATCGTTGTCACTGCCTGCAGACACAGCAACAACAGCAAACAGCGCAACCACTGTCGCCACCACCATCACCACCACCACTGGCACAGCGCGCATCTTCCTCCTCATCATCATCATCGTTCGTCAAGCCGCCGCAATTGTAGAAAAGCAATCGAAGTTATCACCATATTTCAGCAACGCCAAGACAGCAACAACAACGACAACAGCAGCAGCAACAGCAACAGCTGACACATCATCACATCAACCACAGCCTGTCAGCGCCACCACAACCTGTCACCACCACGACCACGACCACTAAGCAAGCAAGGCCGCAGCTCGAGCGAGGTACAGAAAGTGAGTCATGACGCTGAGGTATCGCGTGTGCATCGGGTCGCAACGACCGCAGGTGATGCAGGTGGCGCAGGATGCGACGTTTGGCGAACTGAGGGAGGAAATCGCACGCATGGCGGCAGCCGACGCGAGCGACACACACATCTCGTTTGGGTTCCCGCCGCAGGAGATCACAGACATCGCAGATGACACAAGGTTGGCGGACACAGACCTTGCACGAGGCGGCAACCTCAAGGTGAGGCTCACCAATGCTTCAGCGCCGCCACAAACACAAACACAACCACAACCACAAACACAGCCACAACAACCCCCACCATCGTCGTCGTCATCGTCGGCGCAAACATCGACGACACCCATGGTTGCAACCACATCCACGACACCCTCAACCATGCCGAAACCCACTCGCCACCAACACCAGCACCAACAGCAGTCCCAGCAGCAGTCCCAGCAGCAGCCTGGACAGGGCCCGTTGCTATGGCGGCCACACCCGCTGCGCGTGTCTGTGCCGGCAGACAACTCGTGCCTGTTCCGCACGCTGGTGTTTCTGCTGGACTGCCCACCGGGTGGCATGGCGGCCATCGCCGACGACAACATCATGACGATGCGCCTCATGGTGGCGTCGCTGGTGCAGTCTGACCCGGACCGCTTCACGTCGGCCGTGCTCGGCAAGCCCGTCGACGAATACCTCGCCTGGATCACAGACTCATCGCACTGGGGCGGGTACATTGAGCTGACGGCCATTGCGCGCGCGTTTGCGACGACCATCTTGGCCATTGATATCCAGACGCTGCGGGTGGACGAGTACTCGGGCGGGGAGGACGCGCAGTGCTGCTACGTGCTGTACGACGGTATCCACTACGACCCGCTCGTCATCGCCAACACCGATGATGGCAATGAGGAGATGATGACAAAGCTGTTTGCGCGCACGGACACGGAGACATATGAGGCGATGGTTGCGTTTGCGCGGGAACTCCACGACCTGCGACAGTTCACGAATGTGCAGGACTTTGCGCTCATGTGTCTGGACTGCCAGAAGGGGCTGCGCGGGCAGGAGGAGGCACGGGAACACTCCCAGCTGACGGGGCACATCAACTTTTGCGAAGTGGAGAGCTGACCAGGGATGTGATGTGTCGGTCATCGTCGTCGTTGTTGTTGGTTGTTGTTGTGTGTGTAAATGTGTGTGTGTGTAAATGTGTGTGTAAATGTGTGTGTGTAAATGTGTGTTTGTGTAAATGTGTGTGTGTGTGTAAATGTGTGTGTGTGTGTGTGTGTGTGTGCGTGCGTACGTGTGTGTGTGTAAAGGTGCGTGTGTGTAAAGGTGTGTGTGTGTGAGCGTGTAAAGGTGCGTGTGTGTGTGTGTGTACGTCGCTCATTTCATCACTGCTTGTTGACAATGGGTGATATTGAAAGCGATATACAACCATACCGGCCACTTTCGCGCTTATTGATGGTGTGATGGTGAGTGACAATGGGGATGGATAGGGGTGACAGTGGTGGGCAGTCTTGCTTAGCATGCTTCTTGGTCACCAAATATATGTTTGATGGTGTGTCATGACTGTTGAGCGTCGGTGGCGGTGGTGGTGATGGTGGTGGTGGCGGCGGCGACTGGTGTGATTGAGAGGTTGAGGTCACCACGTCGATATGCGCAGAGCACATGTCCACACACGTCGTATCGCCAGCCCTGGGAAACACAGGCATGGAGGAGGAGGTGGTGGTGGTGGTGACGTGAGTGAGTGGGTAAACGTAGAATTGGGGAAGGGGAGGGCATCACCATCATCATCATCATCATCATCATCATCATCATCATCATCATCATCATCCCAATACCTTCGCGAGTGCCAGTGCGTTGACGTCGACGTCGTCCAACGCCATGAGCCATGGTCCAAGCATCCCTCGATCCTCCTGCAAGCCATGTGTCGTGATGGCGATGGAATGGTGAGTGGTGGACGGTGAGTGGATGGGAGTCAGCACACACAGATTCATAGATACAGACACTGAGGCACACACACACACACACACACACAGACAGACACACAGACAGACACACACACACACACACAGACACACACGCAAAAACCATCATGGTTACACATTCGCGCGCATACCCAGGGCAGGAGTGCTGCGAGGGCAGTGTCAAGTTCGTTGGCGCGCTGTTGAAGATACGCATTCGCAACAGCCACACGCAGCGCCATCTCATCCTGGTGGCGGTGTTGGCGGCGGCGGTGGTGGTGGGGTGAGCACGTTGGTGGTGGTGCTTGAGACTCTTCGCTCTGTCACACTTGGTGCGCTGAATTGTGACAGACAGACAGACAGACAGACAAGCGAGACAGGCAGAGAGACAGGCAAGAGGGACAGACAGAGACACACAGACACGCACACAACCAGAAACAAGCGCCACCTCTTGTTCCTTGGTGAGGGTGAGGTAGCGGGGCAGGTCAGGTGGATGCTTGCAGGCAAGACCGGCCCGAATTGCCGCCTGCAAATCATCGATTGCGAAATGCAGCATGGGCCACTTCATGCCCTGAATGGACTTCAAATCGCTGACACGCGCGCTCTTGACAACACAGCACCACCGTCACCACCACCATCACAGGTCGTGCGCTGAAGAGCGAGGAGAACTTTGAGCTCATCTACAAGCTTGCCGACAAGATTGACTGTGATCGCACGAGAGAGGAATGGAGCTGTACAGGTAGGCACAGACAAACAGAGAGAGAGAGAGTGTGTGTGTGTGTGTCGTCGCCCCGGTACGTCCACAACACACACACACACACACACACACACACACACACACACACACACACACACACACACACACACACACACACACACACACACACACACCACAAACAAACACACACACACACACAAACAAACATCACACACACACACGCACGCACCCTTTGTTATCACCACTACCGCGTGTACATAGGCTTTGGTTTGAATTGGTTGTTTGTTGGGTTTGATTTGTCTTGTTTTGTTCATTTTGTTTGTTTTGTATACTTGTGTCTGTGTGTGAGTGCACATTCGCTTCTTCACCTCAGCTGCACAGCTCATATGTCTTCCTCACGTGCACATCACCGCAAACCAAACCAAATGACACACCATCAGGAGCTGTATCTTGCCATTGGCATCTCTGGTGCCATCCAGCATCTCGCGGGCATGAAGGACAGCAAGGTACGCTCCATCGCCGTGGTTCAATGGTGTTGAAGCGGGTGTTGTTGTTGTTGTTGTTGTTGTTGTTGTTGTTGTTGTTGTTGTTGTTGTTGTTGTTGTTGTTGTTGTTGTTGTTGTTGTTGTTGTTGTTGTTGTTGTTGTTGTTGTTGTTGTGTGTATGTGTGTGGTGGTGGTGGTGGTGGTGATGATGATGATGATGTGCACGTCGTTAACCCCCACCGTCATCTCACTATCATCTCACACAATCATCCCCAAACTGCATTTGCCTGCCTGCGTGCCTTGTCGTGTGTGCAGGTGATTGCGTGCATCAACAAGGATCCCGAGGCGCCCATCTTCCAGGTCTCGGACTACGGGCTCGAGGCAGACCTCTTCAAGGTGACAACAACAACAACAACAACACACCACATGCCATGATGGCCGCTCTGATCGCTGGTGGTACAGGAGGTCGAGTAGAGAGCTGGTGCCTGGTGGTGAGAGTTGAGTGCGCGTGACGTGCACCATTCCACAACACCACACAACACCACCCAACACCACTTACCATCACACAACACCACTTACCATCACACACAACCCGCGTGTCTGCAGGCCATTCCTGAGCTGATGGAGAAGCTTTGAGGAGCGAGAACTGATGTGACACATTGCACAGTCATGTGCCCACTCAATGCGTCACTCGACACCAGCTTTTGCACCACAAAGACAACTTCGCCTTCCTTTCCCCCTCCATTCTGCCAATTCGTGTCACACCAACGTGCTCTGCATGCTCGTGTGTGTTTTGTTTGTTCTTTTTTGTTTTGCTTGTTGTCTCAGTCTTTGTCTTGCCCCAAGTCGTGTTTCCTTCTTGCGGTGCGTGTGCGTGCATGCGTTCGTGTGTGCATGCCCTTTTCCTTCCTTGCGTGCCCATGCTTCAACACAACGAATACACACCGCAAAGGCACACTGCACTGCATGAACACGCAAAGCAAGCACGCCGTTTCTTTCTTTCGTTTTCGTCTTCCCGTTCCGTTTTTGCGTGTTGGTTCATTCATGTGCAACACATACATCAAATATGAACAGGAAAGCAGCGATACCACTCACCGTCACACACACACACACACACACACACACACACACACACACCGTCTTGCGCACACACTGCTGGCTTGGTTCGCTGCAATCCACCCTTCTCGCACACAGTATCAAAGTGACACAGTGACACAGTGCAATCCAAAAGTTTGACGATCTAACAACGACAACGCCACGCTGGCACAGACAGTACCAAACTCTCTCTCTCTCTCTCTCACACACACACACACACACACACACTTTCACAACGAAAAATGCGCAACAGAGTGCGAGTGTGTTCTGCGTTTGTATGCCCAAGTGCACAAAAGCCTGTGCATGTGTGTGTGTGTGTGTTCCCATCACGAGAAACCGTAGCGTGGGCGGTGGATGGGGTCTGGCAGCTTCATCTCAATGGCCAGCCACGGTCGCTCAACAACAACAAGCGACCCGCCGTCTGTAACCGAACACACGAACACACGAACACACGAACATATGAACACACGACAGCAGCAAGAGGGAGGAGAGGCAAGATGAAGCATGAGGGAGTGAGCGAGTACATGTGGTGGTGCATCGTGTGCGCATGTCTGCGTGTGGTGCGTGTGTATGTGTGTGTGTGTGTGTATGCGTGTGCATGTGCATGTGTATGAAACGGTGTTGGCAGCATGTGCAAGGATCCATTGCGTTGGTGCACGCGCATGTACGCACCGACAAATCCCGCGAACATGAGCGGCTTGTACTTGTCAATAATCAGGCCATGCTGTGGAAGGCGCACACAAGTGATCATGCAAAACAACGCAAGACAACGCAAGACAACGTGAGGCAACGTACAACACAGGGCGTGGTCGGGTTGAAACGTGCGTGACATGCCATGAAAAGCCCCAAAGTGACACAAAATGACACGTCCACTGTCAAGAGAGCGAGCGGGCGCAACGCGTGTTGTCATCGTGGTGGTGTCTTCGCGAGGATTGATGAAATCACCTTTCGGCTGGACGACGACGACGACGCTGAAGCGGAAGAAGAGGAAGAGGCATCACCGCCTGTCACATGAGAGAATGGCGGGTGGGAGAGAAGGAGATGAGCGTGGGGCAACAGTCACGCGCGAATGCAAAGGGAGATGAGCAAAGGAACGAGCCGCCGGTGTCAAGGACCACGGCCACACACAGACAGAGGCGAACACACACATACACACACAGACAGAGGCGAACACACACATACACACAGACAGAGGCGAACACAGACACAGACACGCGTCAACCAACCCTTGCGTGCTTTCGGGGCGAGTTTGTCGCGGATGTTGAGGAGAACGGCGCCGGCTTCCGTGGAGAGCAGCGCCAGATGCGGTCGCGATGAACACATGCTCACGCCCATCGGCACAGCCTGGGCAGCGGCAGCGGTGACGGTGCCGGCGGTGGTGGTTGGGGTGGTGAGGGTGGGGAAGGCATGCATGAGTGAAGTGGGTGAAATGACACGGAGCGCGCAGCACACACACACACACACACACACACACACACACACACACATACACACACGTGCGCGCGCACACCCTTTCTCCCCCTCTCATGAACACAGTTCATGGGAGGTATACCTTTGACGGCCCCCAGTTGCCTGGCTTGACGGCGCCGTGTGTGCGGCTCCAGGTGGAGAGGCGGCGCTTGTCAGAATCATAGATCAACACCTGTGTAAACACGAGGAGAACACACACACACACACACACACACACACACACACACACACACACACACACACACACACACACACACACACACGCACACACGCACACACACAGTACGATCAATGATTGAAGTGGCATGTGAGCGGAGGAGGGGATGGGGAAACGGTATGGTATCAAGTGGTGGCAGGCCCGCAAAGAGACATGAGCAAATACATACAAACGCTCTTTGCACGTGTGCACGTGTGCGTGCTGTGTCCAATGCATCACAATGTCATTGTGTGTCATTTTGGTGTGCTCACCGTTCTGTCTGCGCAGGTGACGAGGATGTTGTTGCTCTGCGGCACAAACGCCATGGCTGTCACTTCGGCTGGTGCAACAGCGTAGCCAGTCGACTGTACACACATGCGCACGAGCAGGTGTGTGAGGAACACAAGGGGGGGGGGAACACGGAGCAAGCGTGAGGTGATGGTGACTGCATCACACGGTCAGGTACGCCGTTGCCGGTGCACATGCTGTTACCACACATGCTATGCAACCACGAAGCACAGCACACAAAACGCCACCACGCGGCGCAGCAAACAAGTGCCAAACAGCCCGGCCCCCATGGCTTAGTTGGGTCTCCCGCGCGAAGACAGTGGTGGGAGCCACCATCACCTTTGCAGTGTCGAGGTTGAACCATGTAAGCGTCCTGTTGTGAGAGGTGACGGCCCAAAGGTTGTCTGAGCTGCAGGCAAGATGGCGGCGACCAGGACCCGCAGCTGTCGTACACATACGCACATGAGCAGGCAAGATGGGTTTGGTGAGGGAGTGTAATGGACGGTGCTTAACGGCCATACATACAGACAGTCAGAAGCATGCACACATGCACACATGCACACGACCCAAACCATGCACTCACATACCGTCGACGCTTCCCTTCCCCTTCTCCTCTTTGTACATACTGTGCGCGTGTGTTGGGGCGACGAGGGTGATTTTCTTGTCAATGAGCGAGAACACCTCAAGCGTGCCGTCGCATGCGTGGCACACGAGACGTGACTCATCAGGGGTGAAGCTCAGCGCATACGCAAACGAAAGCTTGCTGCACCCGCCAAGCTTGGTCGCCGTCAGCACTGTCTTCCGCTCGGCCTTGGAGGTGGTGGAGGCAGTGATGGTGGTGGTGCAGTGGAGGTGGTGCAGTGGAACGTGGGATGGGGATGAACAAGAAGTGGACGGATGAAGAGGCAGGCGGAGACAAAGAGGAAGAAGCCAAACAGATGCCCACGAAGCATTCCACACATTAAAAAAAGGATTGACGTACGCCCACCCCCACGAGCAGCCACACACACACCTTCACACACACACACACACACACACACACCTTCTTTGTGATTGCGAACACGCGCACGCCATCCAGCGAGGCGACGGCGACAAATCTGCCAGAGGCGGAGACGGTCGATGCCGTGACGTTGAACAGCGACTGCAGGCGAATCGTCAGCGCAAGCTGTGTGTCCTCCGTCACACCACCGCGCAGCAGCTGCTGCTGCCCAGCCACGCTCACCATATCCGCAGCACTTGCGGTTGTGCCGGTCGCTGCCTGTTTGTGCTGGTGCTGCTTGCCTGCGGCCGACGGCGTGTGCTTGGAGCGCTTCTGTGGGTTGGAGGGTGTGTCATCTCCATCGTCGCCGTCACCACCGCGATCATCGCTGGTGTGCGCTGGCGCATTGGGATCTGTCGCACGTGTTGCAGCCGTGGGTTGCATGAGAAACGAATAAGCAGGTAGGAGTCGCAATTATCACCACCGTCGACCTTCCACAACCACAAGCACATGCACACGCACAATTGCCGCGACTACCACCTCCCACTCACAACCTCCTGCAACCACAAGCACATACGCACACGCTATCACAATCCACGCTGCAATCCTTCCACACGCACGAGCGCGTAAAACAACAACCACGCCTCCCCTCATCACCATCACCACCATCACCACCACCATCATCATCGACAACGTCGTCACCTGGGACAAGGCGCCAGAGGTTGAGGTGGTCGTGCGTGTGCTGCAGAACAAGCGGACACTCGAGCGGTGATGTCTGCGAGACAGAGAGCGGTGGCACTTGCGGCAGGGATGACAGCGTGCGGTGGGTGGACTTGGGCTGGCCGTAGTTGGCTGTTGGGTATGCGACGACAGTGGTATCAAGGCCACCAGCGAGGAGTGTTGTGCCATCGGGGGAAACAGCGAGTGCACGCACGTCGCGCGGCTGCTCACGGCGCTGGCCGCACACAGCCCACGCGCCCTGGTCATCGTCATGATGATGATGATGATGATGATGATGATGATGATGATGATGATGATGATGATGATGATGATGATGATGATGGTGATGATGATGATGATGATGATGATGATGGTGAAGCGAGGTGAGTGGGAGGTGCGCGTGCGCGTGTAACTACAAAGTGAGGGGCAGAGAGAGCGAGAAAGAGAGGAATGGCATGGTTGACGCGAAACAAACAGCGCAACAACCCACCAGATCAAACGAGCACTATCACCAACACCACACAGCCGCCGTTATTACCATCGCCACCATAACCACCATCATCACCACCGCCATGGCTCGCTCACCTGTTTGCCCGGAGCCTTGCTGAGGGCGACAACACGAGAGTCAGCGCCGGCCGCAAAGACGGTGGCACTGGCACGATCCACGGCGAGCGAGAGCACGGGGGCCGAGTGGGTTGGCACAGACGCCCGCAGCGTGCCGTGCTGGGTGCTCCAAAACTGGTGCCACGCAGCAGCGGTGATGCGGGTGGTTATGGTGGCGATGCAGCGATTGTTATGGGGGCGGAGGGGAGGGGGCGGTTTACGGTGAGTGAGGATGGTAAGGAAGAAGTAAGTGAGTGCGTGTGTGTACGTGTGGTGAGCGCAGGCCAAAGGATAAGAACAAGAAAATATGAAGAATGACCACACGACCGAGAGAACAGAGGGTAGAAAGGGGAAGTGGGGGGGGGGGCCAGGTTATGAGTGAGGATGGAAATGTATGCTCACGATCAGTGTGCAAACACGACAATAGCATGTCATGTTCAGGTGCAAGCCTCCAATCCACAGGGCAAGTGCTGTGGAAAAAAAAACAGCAGCACCACCCCGCAGCCCTCACTGGAGGGACGAAGGAATGCACACGCACACGCACACGCAACCGCAGGGCAAAAGCAATCCAACAACAGGACTGCTTGGTGTTGCAAGCTTTGGACACCCGCCGCCACACGTGAAGAGCACGCACAAGGCGGAGAGCATGGCATACTCGCGTCGTGGAGACAGAAGAAGAAGAGGAGGAGGAGGAGGAGGAGGGAAGGAGGGAAGGGGTGTGCGTGCATGTGTGTGTATGTGTGTACGTGTGTTTGTGTACACTTGTTTGTGCATGTGTTTGTGCAATGGTATGCGCGTGCATGTGTGTGTGTGTGTGTGTGTGTGTGTGTGTGTGTGTGTGTGTGTGTGTGTGTGTGTGTGTGTGTGTGTGTACCTGGACGAGGCCGTCTGAGGATGAGGAGACGAGTGTGTCCGTGTCGACGAATGCCAGGTTCCAGACCATAATCTTGTCTGTGGACTTGACGTCGCGCAGGGTGAGCCGATGCAGCACCTCGCCGCGCCGCGACAACAGCCGGATCGCCCTAATCGTGATGATGGTGGTGGTGGTGGTGGTGGTGATGATGGTGATGGTGGCGGTGGCGGTGGTGATGGTGGTGGTGGTGGTGGTGGTGATGGTGGTGATGGTGATGGTGGTGGTGATGGTGATGATGGTGGTGGTGATGGTGGTGATGGTGATGATGATGGTGGTAGTAACGGTGAGGGAGCAATGGTAGCACTAAACGAGCTCAGAACACAACATTAACCGCAATCACAACAACGACGACGACCACCATGATCAGCATCACCACTGCTACCACCACCATCATCCGCACCCGCTGTCGTCGCCGGCTGCCAGAGTGAGGTCGTCTGGCGCCCACGCAACAGACAGCACCCGCCCTGATGGAACACACACACACACAGACACAGACAGACAGACAGACACACACACACACACACATCGTCACATGTGAGTGGTCATGTCAGTAGGAGCGGAACAGGTCAACACCGTGCAGTGTGTGTGCGAGCACATGTACACCACCATTGCGCGGGTGTGCAATCAGCCAATTGCGCCACTGCGCAGCTGTGTAATTGGTAACACGATAGCAGGGCCCAGCGACAGACCTTGCAGCTTAAGCATGGATGTGAGAAGCTCAAGTCCAGTCGGGGTGACGGTATACAGACGCGCGCATCCGTCCTCACACCCAATCTGCAGTCCATGGCCAGGAGGTGAGGGGGAGGGGTTGGGGTGAGCGATGGGGCGTGTGCATGTGAGTGGCAATGGTAGAGAGTGTGTGGACACGTGTATATTGTGCGTGTGTGCGTGTGTGTGAGTGTGTGTGTGTGAGTGCGTGCGTGTGCGTGCGTATGTGTGTGCGTATGTGCGTATGTGTGCGTGCGTGTGCGTATGTGTGAGTGTGTGTGAGTGTCTGTGAGTGTGTGTGGACGCATTGCAAAGCGTTGCGCGCTTAACGACATGTGAACGCGACAGGAAACATCGCTGGAGAAGGGTACGTACGGCGAGAGCAGATCCGTCGTGTGATGCCTGCATGCACCAGATGGCGCCACCAAACGAATCATATTGCTCCTGTAAACGCATACAATACACACACACACACACATACACACACATGTGCGCGAGGGTTGAGGGGTGGGGTGGTAAGCAGAGAAGGCGGAGAAGGACGAGGGCGTGTAATGATCAAAGAGGGGAGGAGGCAAAGAACACGGATGGCATCAGGGCATCAAGACCAAGCATTTATCCAATACGAAGACACGCCAAAGAAACCGGCCAAAACCAAACCACAAAGAACCCATTCATTCATTGCACAAAACACCAACCACCCCAAACCAATCAAACACGCCAGCCGAGAACGCATTCCACCTGCACATGCCTGACCTTGATTGCGCCTGTGGTGAGGTTCCATTCTGTGATGACGGCGTGTGCGCCGCCCGTGAACAGTCGGTCGCCAATCCACACCAGCGCCTCAACACTCAAGTCCCGCCCGCCAGGCAGCACCTGCACAGATGCACACGCACACACACGCACACACACACACACACACACGCATCCACACACACACACACACACACACATGTAAGCACACGTGAATACGCAGATGTGGGCAGTCAGACACTCACACGCATAAACACAAGCATGCAAGCAATGGGCAATGGCGAGCCACAGTGACGACAAGGAAGGAGCTACAACAATCACGGGTCAATGTACACTAACACACGGTCATATACGTTCACACACACATTCACGCACACACATGATACACATATACGCACCTGCTCAAGCACGTAGCCCTGTGATGCGTTCCAAATCTCAACGTCGGCGTTGTTCCTGCACACACGAAGGCCAAGGGCAGAGGAAGGAGGGGAGGTGGGGAGTTGCAGGTGTAAGGATATGACGGAGCTAGGAGACCGTGAAAGCAGCAGAAAGATTTCACACACGCACTGTCAATTACACATACACACACACACACACACACACACACACACACACACACCTACAAACTGTCTCACACCTTCACTGAACCCTCCCCTCCATCACAAACACGCATATACGCGCACCTCGCCACGGCGAATCGAACATGCGGTGTCGCAGTATCACCCTCGTGCGCCTTGTTGGCCGCGGCTGCACTGCGACCATCACCATCGTCATCGGAGCTTGTTGCTGCAGAGGACGACAGGATCTGCTGGTACGCAATGGCGTTGATGGACTCCGGGTGGTAGGTGACGCATCGTAGGCGGTGAACAACGGCAGTGGTGCCGAGGCCGTGGGGGTGGCCCGTCTGTTGGCGACCAGCAGCAGCGGCAGCAGCAGCAGCTTGCTCCTGCTTGCGCTTGAGCCGGCGCTTGCGGGGATGTGGATGTGCACCCTGTGTTGTCTGTCGCTGCTTTGGTGTTCTCCGCTCTGACTGCTGCTTCTGCTGCTTCTGCTGCTTCTGCTGCTGCTGTTGCTGTTGTGCACCCTGCTTCTTCTTGCTTTTGTTCTTCTTGACGTTCTGCTTCTTGTCCGCTGCTGGTGTCGATGGCACGTGCTCCGGCGCTTCATCCATTGCCGATGCCTCTGCTTCCACTGTCGTTTCTACTCCTTGCGTTGATGGAGCTCCCTTTGCTGGTGTGTCCTGCTTCTGTGCCTCTGTATCAGACTTGGATCCCTTCTTCTTTGCTGGCGTCTTTGCTGGCGTCTTTGCTGGCGTCTTTGCTGGCGTCTTTGCTGGCGTCTTGGCTGGCGTCTTTGCTGGTGTCTTGGCTGGTGTCTTGGCTGGTGTCTTTGCCGACGTCTTGGCTGGCGTCTTGGCTGGCGTCTTGGCTGGCGTCTTTGCCGACGTCTTGGCTGGCGTCTTTGCTGGCGTCTTGGCTGGCGTCTTGGCTGGTGTGTCCTGCTCCTGCGCCTCTGTGTCAGACTTGGATCCCTTCTTCCTTGCTGGCGTCTTTGCTGGTATCTTGGCTGCACGGCGCTGTTTGAGCACTGGAGAAGCTGTGTTGTCCACGCCGCCCTGCTGCTGCTGTTGTTGCTGTTGCTGGCGTTGCTGTAGCTTCTTCCTCACCCTCGACCTTGTCTTGATGCCCCCAGAGCTAGCTGGCGTGCCTGTGGGCCCCGCTGCCTCGGGCGTCTTGAACGCCTGCTTCTCATCGCCGTCGTTCCCACGCCGTCTGCCTGGCGTGCGCGTGGTGGGTGCCATCTTGTCTCCTTGCTTGTCTTGGCTGGCTTGTGGGCTATTGTTTGCACGTGGGTCTGGTTATTGCTGATGTCAGCAGAAATTGGGCTCTGACTACATTTTGTGATGTCGTTTATTAATCCAGCTGCCGCTGCGCCTTGTATGTTGTGTTTGCCCGCACATAAGGCGACACACACACCGCCCGCCACCATGGCTTATGATGGGTCTGAGAGCATTGAGATGGAGGCTCGCCTCCTGAACGGCAACGAACTCGACAACGACTACAACGATGAGTACGTGGTTGTGGTGTCAACGCTCTTGTGCTAGTCGGTCGATTCTGGGTGTGGTGGTCATTTTGGTATGGTTTGGTTTTGGTTTGGTTTGGGTCAACATGGAGTGCAGTGTGCTGTTGTGGCTACGTGGAGCGCGGCGTTGTGTACACACAGGCACTCTCTGCCCCGGACAATGCGTGGCTGACACAACGTGGTGTGATGTGAATGATGTGACTCGGGCGCAGGGGAGACTACATTGAAGTGGGCAGCCGGCACCGCGTTGAATCCATGACCTCCATCCAGGAGGAAGATCCAGATGCACACCTGTTGTATGCGGACGTGGATGAGGATGACCTCAGCAGGCCCAGGGAGTCGTCCTGGCTGGCCACATCCGCCACCATCGTTTCAAACAGTGCGTTTGGTTGCACTTTTGTGTATCTGTGTGTGTGTGTGTGTGTGTGTGTGCGTGTATGTGTGTGCGTGTATGTGTGTGTGTCTGTGTGTCTGTGTGTCCGTGTGTAGTGTGTGTCTGTGTGTCTGTATCTCCGTGTCCGTGTGTCTGTGTATGTTTCTGTGCATCTGTGTGACCGCGCCTCCGCAACTGTTCTTCCGCTGCCTTCAAACAGAACTGCCGCAGTCCTCACAATCGCAATTCCCCTCCCCTCCCCTTCACACACACACACACACACGCCTACGCACGTGTTTGCTTGCGCAGTGATTGGTGTTGGTGTGTTGGGGTTGCCGTATGCGTTTGCCCAGATGGGGTGGGCCGTGTCTGTGGTTGTGCTGGTGGTGCTGACGCTCATCTCCATGTACAGCTCCCTGGTTCTGGCCTGGCTGCGCGGCACCGCCTTTGACATCACCACATATCCAAGCCTTGCCGCCTACGCCACCCGCGGCGCAGGTGTGGCAGTGCTGCACTGCGCATTTTGTGTGTGTGTGCGCGTGTGTGGATGTATGCGTGTGTGTGTGTGTGTATGTGTGTGCGTGCGTGCTGGTGTGTGTGCTTGCGTGTGTGTGTGTGTGTGCGTGTGTGTGTGTGTGTGTGTGTGTGTGTGCGCGTGTTGGTGTGGTGTGCGCGTTGGTGTGTGTGTGCGTGCATGTCCTGCGTCGGGCTTCGCCAGATTTGATCCGTGGACCTTTCATCCTCCTTCTATTGCTTCTCCACTCACCACCACCACCACCACCATCATGACCGCGGGCCAGGCAAGCGCGGGTCTTCGTTTCACCGCCGCTTTGCCCAGATTGTGCTGTACACGTATCTCCAGGGCGTCTGCACCATCTACCTCATCACCATGAAGGTTGGTTTCGTGCTGCTGCTGTTGCGTGTGTGGTGTGTGTGTGTGTGTGTGTGTGTGTGTGTGTGTGTGTGTCTGTGTGTGTGTGTGTGTGTGTGTGTGTGTGTGTGTGTGTGTGTGTGTGTGTCTGTGTGTGTGTGTCTGTGTGTGTGTGTGTGTGTGTGTGTACTTGTGTGGTGTGTGGTTGTTTCTGCTTGTATACGTGCGTACGAATACAATGACACGCCATCTAACCACCCCCGCCACATCACCACCACCACTACGACTACCACCACCATGATCATCACGTCGCTGCAGATTGCGATTGAGGAGATATTCCAGCGGTGCGCGGAGGACGGCCCCCACTCCACGTCCGACACCTCCCACACCACCGACCCGGCCCTCGCCTTTGCATGCCAGCCCGCAAGCTGCGCCCCAGACGGCGTCGCTAACCTCCCAGACACGGTGCTGCTGACGCTGCTGTTGGTGCTGTTTGGTCTGTGTGTGTGTGTGTGTGTATGTATGTGTGTGTGTGTGTGTGTGTGTGTGTGTGTGTGTGTTTGTCATGCCTCAAACCCCTTTCACCCACACCCAACCAGCTCACCTCACCTCATTCCCCACCACCACCAACCACTCCTCACACCAACCACCACGTCCGTCACTGCCATGTCAGCTGTGGCTGGTGATTGCTGCTGGCTTTGTGTTCCCGTTTGTGCATTTCCGCCGCCTTGCCCACGCCACGTGGCTCTCCGTCCTCGGTGTCATCACCATCCTTGCTGTCAACGGTGTCATCGTCTACAGGTGTGTGTGTGTGTGTGTGTGAATGAACGAGCTAGCAGACAATGCACCCACTCCTTCCAATACAACCTGAATCTCACCATCACCATCACCACCAACCAATCCACCACCGCCGCCATCATCATCATTACTCAGGTGTGTGCAGCGCATCATTGACGGAACGCATGCGCTGGACCGGATTGAGAAGTTCCACCGCACATTCCGCGGCCTCATCAACGGCATCACCACCACCGCCTTTGCATACGGTCAGTCGCCACCAGCGTGGGATTCGAAGGAGGGATAACATGGTGGTGGTGGCGGTTGCGCTGCTGCATTTGGTTGCGTGGTGGTGGTGGTGGTGGTGGTGGTTGCGTGTTGATATTGCGGCACACACACACACACACACACACACACACACACACACACACACACACACACACACACACACACACACACACACATACACACTTGCACACTTGCATACTTGCACACTTGCACACATACACACGCACACGCACACACATACACACACACACACTTGCACACTTGCATACTTGCACACGTGCACACACACACATTCACATCAATGCATTCACACACCTGCCGCTCACCCTTTCCCCCTTTGCGTCACTGCCCAGGCGGTCACGGTGTCATGTTGGACATTTTGGCCGAAATGAAGGAGCCTGCCAAGTTTCCCCGCGCCGTGTATGCATCACAGGGGTTCATGTTCTTCAACTACGCCGTTGTCGGGTGCGTGCGCATGTGTCGTGTGCTTGTGCGTCATGTGCGTCATGTGTGTCATGTGTCATGTGTGTGTGTCATGTGTGCATGTGTCATGTGTGTCATGTGTGCATGTGTCAGATGTGTCGTGCGAATGAGTCTCAGCTGACATTTAGAATGATGTGTGATGCCCTCACTCCTTCCAAACTCACACCACCGCCACCACCATCTCCACCACCGCCACCACCTCCATTCACATCAGGTTCCTTGGCTACGGCGCGTTTGGCGGGGCAGTGACCTCCCCCATCACCATTTCGCTGCCGGACGGGTGGCTGCATGTGTTCACCAACTCCTGCCTCCTCCTCCACGTCGCCGCGGCGTACTGCATCAACAGCACCGTCTTTGGTGTGTGTGTGTGTGTTTGTGTGTGTGTGTGTGTGTGTGTGTGTGTGTGTGTGTGTGTGTGTGTGTGTGTGTGTGTGTGTGTGTGTGTGTGTGTGTGTGTGTGTGCGTACAT